AGTGAGTGTGAAACATGCAGTGGAAATTCAGGCTGTGACATCGGCAAGCTGGTCTTGCACTAACTCCAGTTGGCCATATTGGTTCCAGCTGATTGCAGCCGGTTTTGTCATAAGTGAAAGGAGTTTCAAGTTGTTTCTTGTTTTATTTGCTTTCCTGCAAATTCAAGAATTTCTGTTAGTGGTTTCTTTAGCTCTTTGGAGTGTGGTTTCACGATTTCATGCTCTTACCTGCTGCAGGGCCTTGGCACTGGTTGTTTTCACCCCCCCAGGGAGCTTTTCCTCTCTGTCTGGCATCCTTCTTTTTTTTGAGACAGAGTTTTGCTCTTGCTACCCAGGCTGGAGTGCAGTGGTACAATCTCAGCACACCGCAACTTCCGCCTCCCAGGCTCAAGCAATTCTCCTGCCTCAGTCTCCCGAGTGGCTGGGATTACAGGCATGCACCACCACACCCAGCTAATTTTGTATTTTTAGTAGAGATGGTTTCTTCGTGTTGGTCAGGCTGGTCTCAAACTCCCGACCTCAGGTGATCCGCCCACCTCAGTCTCCCAAAGTGCTGGGATTACAGGTGTGAGCCACTGTGCCCGGCCCCTCCTCGCTACTTTTTTTTTGAGACAGTCTCACTCTGTTGCCCAGGCTGGAGTGCAATGGTGTAATTTCCTCTCACTGCAACATCTGCCTCCCAGGTTTAAGCGATTCTCCTGCCTCAGCCTCCCGAGTAGCTGGGATTATGGGCATGTGCCACCATGGCCAGATAATTTTTGTATTTTTAGTAGAGATGGAATTTCACCATGTTGGCCAGGCTGGTCTTGAACTCCTGACCCCAGGTCATCTGCCTGCCTCGGCCTCCTAAAGTGCTGGGATTACAGTTGTGAGGCACTGCACCTGGCCCCCTCTGTCATCCTTTATGCCACTTCCTAATTGATGTTCCTTGTGACATGAATGAATGATGTACTGGTTATTTATTGCCAGTTCCTCAGCCAGAATGTAAACTTAATGAGGGCAGAGATTCTGATTTCTTATTCTCTGCTTGGTCCTCAAGGCCCAGCACACTGCCTGACACCTCACAGATGCTCACTAGATGTTGATTTAGTGAATAAATGAATAACCCTGGGGTGTGCATCACCACCTAGGGAACTTCTAAAAAACATGTTTGAATTTTCTTTTTTTTTTCTTCACTTGAAAATAATTTTTTTTTTTTTTTTTTTGTAGCAATGGAATCTTGCTATGTTGCCCAGGCTGGTCTCAGATTCCTGGCCTCAAGTGATCCTCCTTGCCTTGGCCTCCCAAAGTGCAGGGGTGACAGGTAGGAGCCACTGCATCTGAGCAATATTTTCTAAGACAGTGGTTTTTGCCCTTGGCTACATACTGGATTCACCTGGGGATGCCTGGGTTACACCCCTAGAGGTTCAGAGTTAACTGGTCTAAGGTGAGGCTTTGGCAATAAAGTTTTAAAAAGCTCTCTAGGTAATTCCAATGTGCAGTCAGCATTGAAAAGTGTGCTAGCTTGGCCACAGGTGCTTTTTTGTAGATGATTCTGATGTTCAACTCTGATGAAGAAGTTAACTGCAGATGAAAACACTCAGCATGCCACTTACTAGTAATAGATGTTTACTGAGTGATGGAATGAATTAATATATTCATTGACCCCTAAAGAGTTCATGGGCGGATTTTTAAAACCTTGAGAAGTCATTGAAATTGTACACAAAATCTGCAATGAGCTACACGTATG